TTGTTTACTTTTTTTATTTGTTTTTTTTTTGTATTTTTTACATTTCCAACCGCTTTTGTACTAAAGGAACTTGAAGTCGAAACAACACCATTTGTTGAAAGATTTTTATACTTTAAAAAGTTTAACTGATAGTTTTTTTTGACTGAGACGAGTTGAGTTGACTTGTTGCATTTTCAAAATTATTTATTGAATTACGCATTGCTTTATTATTGTTTGAGTTAGGGTTGCTACCCGGAGGATTTCGTGCAATTCCGGAAAAACAACATTCTTTCGTAAGGAGATTGAGAACGAGGAATTACATTTTTTCGTACCGAATGTTACAAAACATTTAAAATCGCCGATGTTCATTTCGCAAAAGCCACTTCCGAAATTTAGCATTTCGCAAGTTGACATACGAAACAAAACTATTTTGCAACATACGAAAGTAGCAATTTCGGAAGTCGCACTTGCGAAACAAACATTTTCGCCAAACGACGTTTTGAAGTCTATAAAGAAAATTTGTTTGCCAGACTGATTTTAATTGTAAAAATTAACATCTTTAAATCCCAAAATGTTTATAATGAATTTTTATTTTCAGTATAATAACATATTAAATTTTTATGGTTTTATTTTCTAGAAATATTGATAAAAAATAAAATTTCTTTCGAAACGAAAGTATTTCGGATTACAACATACGAAAGAATTCTTAAAGGAAATAAACTTACGAAACGTGCCATAATAAATATATATAACGATGTTTTTTGAACTCATTACGTATATTAAAAATAAGAATGATGGGTAGGAATATACATGTTTCTTTTTTTTAAAGCATATGAAATTTTTGAAACAGGTTCGAATATGCTTAAGCAAATAGTAAAAAGAGGTTCAAAAATATGCTTTAGCTTAAGCATATTTCTGATAAAATATACCTATTTCAATAATTTTTAAAAGTGTGCACGTTACTAAAGTTCTAGCAGATTTTAAAGGTATGTAGAGTCCTGTTTGAATACGCTTTTCAAAGTATAGATCTTAGCAAATATTGTTTTTTAATTTTAATAAGATATAAATTTAAGTATAAGATCGTATAGTTCAATCAGTTAGATACGTGATAATTCGCCGCAGAGATCCGGGTTCGCATCCTGCAGCCATTGTAACTTTTGTTCATCAAACTCTTTTTACTTAAGATAGCATTTTTTGACCTCCATGTTCTATATTACAGATCTTTCGTCACCTTCATAATAGTGACAACCTCTCTTCTGTTAGTTATTCTTTTAAGATTGAGTTTATTGTGCTTAATTCTACACGTTTCCCTTGCTTTACTAAGTTCTACTTAGATTATGATGAAATGTACGTAAAACAACTTTTTCAAATTAATATAAATCATTTTGCTTTAAATCTTGTGCTTTTTGTACTAGACATCTGTCCTTAACACTTTGTAATAATTTCTAGCTAACTCTGAGTCTAATATAATCATTTCTGAATATAATTTCCCTGAGGCTCCTACAGCCTATTGTGTTCCATTAAAAGTAACTAGTTTTCGAGTCCAGATATTAATTATAAGCAACTAAAGGTTCACATTACTATTCATTTTCCTGATATATAGAATCCTATTTGCATACGGATCTCTTTCTGTAAATTCTGTTTTATATAGTTTCTTAATTATATAATAAATAAATATTACTAATTATTTAGTTGAATGAACGTATAGCTCATTCAGTTAAGACATTTGGCCGCGTAGACCCAGGTTCACATCCCGCTGTTTCACATATATTTCTTCTCTTTTTACTCTTTCTGATATCATTTACCTTTAGAGAGATCTCTCGTTCTTTATAATAAAGTATTTAATTGTTTATCACACATCCTCTTTATACTTTTTAAAAAGAAAGGCATACTGTTTATCTGTTCATTGAGAGTCCAACTTAACGGGATTTTACTGTATATATATGTATATATATATATATATATATATATATATATATATATATATATATATATATATATATATATATATATATATATATATATATATATATATATATATATATATATATATATATGTATATATATATATATATATATATATATATATATATATATATATATATATATATATATATGTATATATATATATATATATATATATATATATATATATATATATATATATATATATATATATATATATATATATATATATATATATATATATATATATATATATATATATATATATATATTAGGTATATTTGTATAAACATTTGAAGAATCATTTGACAACATTTTTTTATAATTTTATTATTTATTATTTAAACTGTTAACAGTTAATATCTTAAATATATCTTAACATAAAATCTTTTGCGTCTTTTTCGTAACTGCACATTCCGGAATGCTTTTTCCGTAAGGAACTATTTTGTAAGTATTCTTACGAAATGATTTGTTTCGCAAGTTTTCTTTCGCAATGCTTTATTACGGAATTTTATTTATTTATATTTTCGTATAGCGCGTTGCGGAATGTGCATTTTTGCATGTGCAACTTCCGCAATAACAATTCTATTACGGTAGATAAAGATGCGAAATTTTCGCAAGTTTTGTTTTTCGACGAACAACCCTAGTTTGAGTTTGAGGATATTTTTTAAATTAATTATTTAATACTTAATTGACGGCGAACATCTGCTAAGTCATTATTTAAACGGTCTTTAATCTCTTTACTATTACTATCAATTATTTTAATACCACATTCTTGTTGCCAGAAGGCATTAATGGTTTCAGCTTTTAGTGGATTAATTGAGTTTTATACTCGTAATACTGGTTATGGTCGGTCTGTTACATAACTAATTTATAGTGACTGTTTTCCACAATTTAATGTTGCAAAACCTTAACTAATACCCTTTTAGAAAAACGCCTTCAACTTGAAAAAATTATCTGTAAAATTAACATAAAAAGTATGAGAAGGTAAAATAATTTACCAATAGGTAAAATAATTTACCAACTACTACTTAACATTTACAATAACTACTTAACATTATTTGAGTAATTTACAACTGACATAGGTTATAACAGTGTGAGGCAGAACCATTTTCCTCGACATTCCTAAGTTCAACACAATACGTTTTTAGTTACTGACACAAAATAATAACACTTCATCATGCTTTAAATTGACGAAAGTATCAACTAAATCCTTGTAAATAATTTTTATAACATGAACTTTAATTAATTATTAAGATTAAGATGAAGTTAACTTATATTATACTGGAACTACTATGCAGCTGTATTATATTAGCAATGCAGCTGTGTTATAGTAGCAGCTGCATTGCTATGCAGCTGTATATATAGTATAGTAGCAGTGCATATATATGTAGTATACACTGTAAAGCCGAATGGTTCTTTAAAGAACCTTAAATGGTTCTTGAAGTTGGTGCTGAGGGAGAACCCGTAGAGGTTCTTTAAAGAACTTTTTGTAGGGGTTCTTCGGAAGAACCTTACCGTAAGGTTCTCTAAAGAACCCTAATCGGTTTTTTGAAGAACCTAAGGGTTCTTGAGAGTTCCGATAAATCATCCGGAGAGGTCCTTCGAAGAACCATAAAAATAACATCTTTTTTAAAGAAGTACTTCACATTCAAGACATCTGACTGACAAAAAAGATGTTCAGTACACAAATTTTGAAATAAATTTCTGAAAAAAAAAACTAATTAAAGAATAATAATTGATAGTTTTTAGACTATTAATTTTATTACAACTTATTATGTGTTAAACTTTTTTAATTAAGTTGATCCAAAAAGTTAAAATCACGGGATAAAAATGATATATCGTTAAGTTTTGATGCAAAATAAAGAATCAAACAACGACTAGATTAACGAAGCGCATATGCTACAAGAAAAACAAAAATTACAAAATAATTTACAAAAATTGCTTTATTTTCAAACTACAGTTTAATCTGAACCGTATCGCGTCTTTCATATGCTCGTTTTTTACTTTCAATCGCAGATTCTATTGATGATTAAAAATTTGTGAATATTGATATCTGTGATATTGATGAAACTCGTGAAAATCCATTAAAGATTTGCATAATTCAGATTATATATATATTATATATATATTATATATATATTCAGATTATATATATATATATATATATATATATATATATATATATATATATATATATATATATATATATATATATATATATATATATTATATATATAATTTCAGCAAATATTTCAGAAATAAAACCGTCTTTACACTTTAATTTTATCAAGGTTAAGATTTTATCTTCTATACCCTTCATCCATTGATGAAGCTCTTTATCTAGATCTTTGCCAAATCTTAGTTTCATTTCACTAAGAAGCTTTAATATCATTATAATAAAAATTATTATTGAGTTAAAACACAAAAAATAAAATAAAGAGAACAGTTAAAAGCAGAGCCATGGGTATTTATTAACAATTTAGCAGAGCAGAGCCATGGGTATTTAGCTTTTAGATCGACTGTACGAAATCGACCATCAAAATCCTTTGCTCGCATAAACCAACTACGTTTTTGGCGATCAATTAGCATATTCATGTCTGGACGAATGTTTTGCTACAGTTAAATCATCCTCACCAATAGGCAAAGAATGTGGCTTAAAAAAAGTTATTTTTCAAGAATTATTTCATTTTTTTTAATTATATACCCCCTCCCCCCCATTTACCAAGTCTCTATGTGTCCTAATACAAGCTTCTTCATTCTCAAGACAATCTTCTGCGTGTTTGCGTCCTCTTCCTGGATTGCCAAATGTGCTTTTATGGATAGCAACAATCTCAATATTGATTAAAGGAAGTCTTTCTTTCTTGAACTTGTTTTTTAGACTTTCTTTCTTGAACTTGTTTTATAGACTTTCCGATAGCGTAGGCTGCCATTATAAGTAAATTTATTTGACATATGCATTCAGATTGTATAAATTATATACATATGCTGTATATAAATATGTATATATGTATACGATATACATTATATATACATATACACTTAAAATATATCATATATTCCAATAACATTATATAATTTATATTATTTATTTATATTAGCCATTAAACAACTTACCAATTGTAGGTATTGTTGTGATGAACTACCACTCCTTGAAGGGAAGTCATTTAAGTATGGATACTTGCTACATATGGTGGCAAGCACACCTGAATATTGGGTACTGGATGGATACCTTTAAATAAAACTTAAACAGTGACACAGCAACCTCACAATATTTTTTTATTGTAAATTTGTAAAAGTTACAGTAACAACATTATTAGGTGTTTATGTGTTTTATTGCCTGTATGAATGGGGTATTTGTAACTATTGTCAGTTATAAAGTTAAAAATAACATTAACACACAAATTATTGATGAAAACAACATCAAAACAAACACAAAAACACAGAGATTTTTATAGAATATTTCAATGAAAAACACTATTACAATGTAAATTTGTTGATGTCATCATATAAACATTGTATCAATTGATTCCTGCAGCTGTTCCTTCTATACTGCTAAAAGCAACAGTCTTTGGATTCCAAAGCTCTAACAACTGCTGGTGGTAAAATAGGTAGTTGATACCGAACTGGCCATGATGTCGTAGCTCTAATGGATCCTACTAAAATATTCCTAGCACCAGTGTAACACGCTTCTGATGCACTACTCTGAAGTACACCAAGGTCAGACACACTAATAAACACAACATTTTTATGTTAGCAAAAAGTTATTGTTAATTGTATTAAGGAATTTAAACTGTATCAAAACTTACTTTAAATTAACTTGTGCAGGCGGTGCTTGAAGATTCTTTATTATTTCCAACAACATAACTTGCTTTCGCATTGTTACACACAAATTTAAAACCATTGTTTCCGTTAAACTCAACAATATTTTTTTATCAAATTCTTCTTCTACATTAAAAGTAAATTGTTATTAACATGAGCGTTGAACATCGTTATAAATATCCAACTATAATTTAATTTCAAGCTTTAGGGTTAAATATCTTTACTTGATCGTTATTGAAAAAAATATCACAATACCATTGGGCAATTTTATATTTATATTTTAACAATTTTCAACAAACTTAATGTTGCGAATAATCTATAAATTGATAAAAGTACAGTAGGAATAACTGAAATATTATATTTGCAAAGTTAAAATTATTGAGATTTTATTAACTTCTGTCATGTTTGTTGTTATTATGAATATAATTTTGTCATGTTTACAACATTATTTTTATTATCATTATCATTATCATTTTATTACCTTTATTATCATTATTAAATCTAGAGTACTAATAGTAAAGTTATTAATAGTAATTATTGACTACATTTTTCTATCAATATTATTGCAGATTATATCAAAAACAAAAAAACCTTTCAGAATTTATTTATTATATTTATTTAAAACACAAGTATTTGAGCGTAATATAAGAGTCACCATCTTGTATTGCATATGTGTCTAGAAGTTGATAATCACAAACTTCTGTTGGCAAGCATATTGACAAGGTTTCGTCTTCGATAACTCTGAATGAATGCAAGTGCTCATTATATTGTCACAAATTAGCAACTTACCACAAAATACACAGTGTTGGCAAAATTGAATAATATTATAAATTTTGAAAAATAAAGGAATTTTTTCTGCATGAAGTAAAGCTAAAATAACGATATCATGAACATGATATTGGATTCTATTTATTGCAACGGCATTACACTTCCTGTTTCCTTTTTATCAATAATATCATTAAAAAAAAAAGACAGCAACTTTTCTTGAAGACAAGTTGCTAAACTATCAAAGGTAACTGAACATAGATTAGATGTTTCATACTTTTCATTTAAAAAATCAGAAGATGCCATCTCCCAACACTGTCTCAGCTGATGTCGCTTTGCGAGAGAAAAACCTATATTTTTAAAATTTCTAATGCAAGAACCTAACTTTTTGAAGTACAAATGTTTAGCTTCAAAACGCATGCACCATAAATATCTCAGGGGTCCATTTTCATTAATCAGACGAGCATAACGGAGCATGAAATGAAACTTGGGTGTTAAATTATCAGGAAAAAGTTTAATAAAATTTTGCAAAAAGTGCTCCACTAAAAATTGAAGATATGATAAAGCAGTTTTTGAAATTTTTGGAGCAAGTACGTAATCAGCAATATCTTGCAGCTGCAAGTACAGTAACCAATACACATTAGATATTGGTATGCAATTACCAATCATAAACGGTAGTAACCGAAACATACAAAACTTCTGTGACGCTGAACCAACAAAGTTAATAGACGCACCAGTACAGATAACAAATGGTACTGGTTTGTTTTTCCTGTCATTTCTGCCAAATTCAAAAATGTTAAGCTCTGTGTTAATCTGTTCTACTTTAATTATATCAAGTGCTTTAAATTTTAACAAAATTAAACTTACTAATTGTGGAACTGTTCCTTCTAACATATCATGCATGATGTCTGGTGGGAAAGACTGTAAAACATTTAAGTATGGTAAATCTAATAAAGCGTTTATCAACACCGTACACACTAGAAGAAATGCGACCTAGACCAGAAATAGCAGCTAAATGATAATGATGCATTTCATTGGTACGAATTGTTGTATCACATTCAGCTAAAACTTTATTTTTGTCAACATAAGTCATGCAATGACGACAAAAACGACCAGAGTTAAAAACACGTTGAAAACCAGCAAGTGCATGAGAGGAAAGATTATCAGCAGATATAGTTGCAACCCCTCCAAACAATCGAACCGTCATATTATCAACTGTAACTAATATACCTTCATTTTGCAATGTAACCAAATCCTGAATTAAAGGTCTTAAAACCTGTTTGTTTGTTTTATATTTTTTTATAAACTTTTCTATAACAAGAATACATAAATTTATATTCTGAAGTTGAGAAATATATTGCTCTTCAATGTTGCCTAAGAAGAAATAAAACGCACAGAGTTTATGTACTGAGCGATGAGCCCCAATGGGATTATAAACCTCAAATTCATCACAATATAAATGAATCCTTAATGCATATTTGTTTTTAAAAATGACATGTTGTTAACAATTTAAACCATCTGAATATGAATATAGCAAGTCTTTATTAATTTACTCATCTTTTTCATGTTTTCGTTTCATTGAATGCCAGATAAGCTCATTTTCGACTAACTTTTTAAAAAATGGCAAAATGGGCACATACTGAAAAGTTTCACAGCTTTGTTTTTTTAAACCATATTCACATTGGTTTTCATTCATGTAGTGTAAATTTATTTCAACTGGCAAAATAAGACCTAAGTTTGACTTACAAAATGATATAACCTTTTTGCTAGAATTGACGACAGATAAAACTTTATCTACAATCAAATCAATATTTAAAAGTTGACATAAATCACTATTATTAACAAGGTCTTCCTCAAGTTGCTGCTTTACTAGATCACAAAAAGTATGATTAAAATATGTAAACAAAGATTGAACTTTGTTTGCTAAATCAATTTGAACAAAAGACGGAATCGAATGTTTTTCTGCTATTCCAACTACAAACATAGCGTAATGTTTCTGCAAATAACTAAGTAGACTGCCTAGCGAGGATATGGCACCTATATTAGAATCCAAACTACAACTTGCTTGACTGCAGTTGTTAGTGGTAGAATCTATCACAAACTCAGCTTTGGTGTTATCCCCATTACTATCTGCTAAAATGTGGTTTTCCATTGTTTCACTAATATTATCAGGCTCATTTGTTAATATTTGAGGTGTGCTAAAAATGAAAATATGCTTTTTGTGCATATGGTGATGTAAACATTTTACAGTTTTATATTTGGCAGGACAACTATTAATATTACACAATGGGAAAAAACCAGGGGTATGTTCATGCATGATATACCAATGTTGTAAATAGTTTTGCACAGAATACTTCTGCGCGCCACATGTACAACAAGTAAAACACAAGTTATTATTAGATGAAGCCATTTCAAAAAATATTATTTGCTATATACAAAAATAATATAGATTTAATATCAGTATAATTATTACTAAACAAACATTTAAAAACTCAAAATGCATTATCTAACCAACAATTTTTTCTTTTAAATCACCAAGACCTTTCTGCTCTAAATGCAAACAAACTTCTTCAATTGACCAATTCATCATTCCAAATTTTAACTAAGAATTTAAGGATAATTGTACTTTAAATTTGAATTAACTTATATGACAAAATAAAGCTATTGCATTGTCATAGTATTCAAATTAAATTACTAAAATTAATTTTGGATGCAGTAATACTGTTTTGAAATATAATGCTGGGATCATTGCATAAAATCTAAATATCATACTGCTAGTATGATATTCGGATTCTGTACAATGATCTCAACATTATATTTTAATCATAGTTATACAAATAGTAATCATTAATGATTACCATAATTAGTACAAATTACATTAAATTTAGTACAATTAGTGTAAATTATGTTTTGTAATAGTTTCAAACATTTTCCCTCATGAATATATGATTTTTTATTTTACCTTATGAATTTTAGTAATTGATAAAATAAAATCATATGTTAAGCTAACAACTGTTGGTAGTATATCATTTTGTTTCATAATTCATGTTTAAACATTTAGCCAAGTTTATAAATCCACATTGTAATCAACTAACACGCTGGGTAAAAAAAATATATCGAAAAACAAAATGGAGTATTAAAAAAGAAAAAAAAAAAAGTTTTTGAAGAACCTTTTGAAGAACCTTAAGACTAAAATATCTAACAATTTAAGCGAAGAACCTTAAAGGTTCTTCAAACTTCCTTTAAAAAATTAGCCGGTTCTATAAAGAACCATTTAGCAGCATGAAGAACCCACGGGTTCTTTAAGTCGGCTCTAAGAACCTCAAGGTTCTTAGAGGAACCGCCGCATAACCTTGAAGAACCCTTTAGATTTACAGTGTTGTAGCAGCTGTGTATATATACTTTAGTAGCAGCTGTGTATATACACTATAGTAGCAGCTGCATTGCTTGGCAGCTGTATTATAGTAGCAACTATATTTTATTATACAGGAATTACTATGCAGCTGAGTACAAATACGTTTCAAACTAAAAAAAATTTAATTTACAATCAAACACGTGTATAACAAGTTTAAAAAAATATGAAAGCTTTAATCTTTTATATTGCATTAATGTTACGCATGACAAACCTAAAATAAAAAGTAACAGATAAGTAGACAAAAACAATTTGTAAACCAAGCTGACCCGGGTCTTGTTAAGTCTGCTCAACACACTTCTATATTATTTGTTTGGCTTCTTTATTTCATTAATTTTTAGTAGACGGTATTTTGCTACCATTTACTAAAAATTCCTTTTGTTACTTGAAATTTAATTTTCCTAAATATTTGACACTAATAAAGAGGTTCCTCCCCTCTTCTTGCTTTAATGATGGCCTGGTGAATTTTTTTTATTAAGAGTAATCAAGTTTTTGATGAAGACCTTTAACCAAAATAATAAAATGTAAAACAATGATTTACATATATAAGAATGTTTTCCTTCCTCAAAAGTATTGCAAATGCAGACTAAGCTAACTAATTAGTTAAACATGTAAATAAAACGTAAGTAAATTGATATTTGACAAATGCACAAAACTACAGTATTCTCCATGTTTTTTTTTAAAGGTTTTTAGTTACGATCCCCGTTTACAAAGATCCCCTAAGATTCGTACAACAAATTATTGGGCATAAAATATAGAAATAGTTACATATATTTATATCTTTTTAACTAACAAAAATTTACAATAAAAGGAAATCAGGTTTTTTTTTATAAATCTTATAAATGCGTCATGACGTAAATCTAAAATAAAAAGTAATGGAAATATGATATTATAATTACAAAAAAAAAAAAAAAAAAAAACATAAAATTTGAAAATCGATTTACCTATTTATAGTTATTTATTTTGAAATTGAAGTTAATATAATTATTTTTCGAAAATGTAACTATAAAATCAGTGGAGGATTTAGTATAGGGCGTAGGGGAGGGGGGGGGGGCGAGCTGCCCCCCACGTCCCCTAGAACGATCAAACAGCGCCCCCTAAAACATTCACAAAAAAAAAATTGTAAGTTCAAATTACCAATGAAAATAAAATGAAAAGAATAAAAATACAAATAGAAAGAGAGAAAGAGAGGAATTATTTTAAAACAGAGGTTTTAAAATATTTCCTTTCGAAACATTGATCTTAAACTCTAAAAAGAGTTTAAGATCAATGGTATTAAATTCTGCAGAGGACAGGCATATGATGGTGCTCATGTACTTTTTGGAATTAAAAGTAGTCTTTAGACTTGAATAAAAGCGCTTTCACCAAATGCGATCTATGTTCATTATTTTGCTCATGTTTTAAATTTGGTGACCATCGAAGCAATGTCTGTAAACAGCAATGTCCAGATGTTTTTAGGCACAGCTGAAAAATTGTACAAGTACCTTACATCTAGTTTACAACGACTTCATATTATCCAAGAGCATGAGAAACATGTTTATGGATCAATAGTAAACATTATGAAACGACTTTCTGATACAAGATGAGCAAGTACAAAGCATGCAGTTAATGCTGATGTTGAATCTTTTTCAGTTATTCTAGCCACTCTAGAAGATATAAATCTATAATATAATATAAAGGAAAATCTAAAGAACATTCAGGAAATGTTAGAGCAGAAGCTATTAGACTATCAGTTTTAATAAAAAAAACATTCATTTATTTTTCTAATGTTATTTTTAGTCAAAGTTGTTAATTAACCTTTTTGTGTTATCTAACTACTTGCAACGAGAAGATATAGATGTTTTATTTGCAAAACAGTTGATAAATGTTACAAAAAAAAAGTTTGTAGATCTGAGAAACGATGAAGTTTTTAAAGTTCTACATTTAGCAGTCAAATCATTTATTTGTGAAAAATGTGCCGAACTAAATGCAGAAACTGAGTTTAAAGAAAATTTATCTTTCTTTAAATTCAGTTAGCCTAGCATCCAGCCAAAAAGAAACGCACGACAGAAGAGCAATGGAGAGATGAAAGAGTTGATGATCCAACTACACGCCTAAAATATGAAACCTATTTTGATGTTTTGGATACAATTATAACCCAAATAAATATATGATTTCACAACTTTAGTAACACAGTTACAAATTTTGATTGCCTTGATCCGTCAAAATTATCTTAAGAAAATAAATTCTTTCATATTTTCTTGTCAAATTTTTTGAAACAATCTAAATACTGAAGAAGCAGTCGTAGAGTATGAGACTTTCAATTATGTGTATGTATCGATATTCCCATCACTGACAACTGACATACAATTGAAAGATGAGAAACATCTTGATTGAGAAACAGATAGCACCGGGTTTCTCTAACTTGGCTATACTTTATAAAATCTACTTGACTCTTCCGTTACATCAACTAATGCTGAAAGAAGTTTCAGTAAACTAAAGATTACAAAAAGTCATTTAAGATCAAAAATGACAAACGAACGTCTTTCTGGATCAGCATTAATTTCTATTGAACATGAGCTTGCTGAAAACATTGTCTTTGACATGTCAATAAATCATTTTGCTTCAATGAAATCTTGCAGAATTTGTGTAAACTACCTGAAAAGTGATTATTTTTACTAAATGTTAACTTTTGTAATATGTCTAGTTAAATACATTTTTAAATGACCAAACTATTTCAGTAATATTAAGTATTTCTTATTTTATAAAAGATAATTGTTAACTAAAATAAACTAAGAAAAACTCAAAAAAGATTAGTGTCTTATATGTATGTAATATGTATAATAAAAGTCTTTTAGTCATGAAATTAATTTCTGGGGTTTAAAATACCACACCCAAATTGGTCGCCCCCAATTCATTGACTTGCCCCCCCCCCAAGGGGGCAAGTCAATGAATTGCAACACTAAACCTCAATTCGCCGCGCTGTAAAATCTATTTTGAAGTACAAAAGGATAAACAATACTAAAAAAAAAATCAAACTAAGATATAAATTGCACTTTTAGCAAAATGTTGTCTTGGTTTTTAGTAAATAAATAAAAGCAGTAAGTTCCAAAAATGAAATTACCTATTATTAATTTTTAACAATAGACGCCAACGGGAGAGTAAGCCAAGCTGTCTATCAACACAAAACATCACAACAATAACACATAACAATAAAATCCAGTGAAAATAACAAAATTAAAACATGAAAGGCAAAATTAAAAAACCAATTTAGAATTAAGTATATTTATCTTTTTACTGAACTTTAATAAAGTATATTTGTTTTTACATTTAATATTAGTTATTCAATTATTTCAAATTTAGGACATTAAAGCACGCTAGATTTAAAGATTAAGGTTGCATACTCTCTCATACACATTACGCTAAACATTAACATAGATTATGTGTTTCCAGAATAATTTAAAAAGATATTATGTGTTTATTACATATTATGTATTTCCAGAATAATTTGAAAAAGGCTAGACAACACAACCTAGCTCTAAAGCAGTAACACTGCCTGGCATTAAATGATGCCAAGTCACACCTCTGCTATAAGTACACCGCTTGGCTGGCAAGGTTATTAAACTTGCTCAACATAATACCAAATCACACCACTTTGAAAACATGGAAACAACATAATTCAAACATATATACAACTATAAACAAATATGACTTTATATAACACATATAAACACATTTTATAACAATATTAAATGACAGATATATTTTTCAAATACTATGAAAAAAAATAATAATAATAAAGTTACACATACAAAATGTGCTCACAACCTTTAACAGTAAATTTTTGAAATGAAAATATAAAGACTATAAATTAAGAACATTAGAAAGTATAACACTATTTGTGTACCATACCTTGAATAGGATGTTTATCAATTTTGAAAAACAAACTAATAAATGCTTTAGTTCTTGAACATGCAACATATAGTTGACTATGAGAGAAACGCGGTTTTTGAGATATGTTTTTTGTCTTTAAGTTTAATTTTAATAATCAAGAGGATATCCATATTAATTCTATACATTTTAACACACTATACGAGTGTTTTGTTATGGCTGTTGACCAGTTAGCAGGTGGTACTGCTGTTGATTACCATCAACATATAATTAATACGATGGATCATCTTGCTCTTTTTTCGCCGGAGTTAAACAGTGCAAACTATCAAGAAACTGGTAAAGCAA